CCGTCTTTCATCATTGCCTGTCTCAAGTTTCCAACGACCTAACTGACACACACTAATAGCGCTCCCAGATAACCAACAGACAGTTCTTGGCATAAAATGCATATTTATTACTGCAACAGTGATTTAAACAATAAGAGAATAATTGTCAGTCAGCTCATCTTAGGGATTCTGTTACATTTCCTCCTCCCAATTTGTTCGTCGGATACGCCCAGACGTGGAAGCCGCTCTCTCCTTCGCCATGTACACTGCAAATGGAAAGAGAACATGCGCACGTAGTGGGTTTATTAAACACAAGCATATTCAACTGGGGAGCTAAATTACATTTAGTCGCCCCCCCCTCGCACTACTGCTTCTATCAAACCCATTATGTCAAAATCAGAGCAAAGTATGCACATTGAAGCGTAGAAACATAAAAGTACTCTCATATTTTGTCAGAAGTCGTATGCAGCGACTTCCATCACAGACATACTTCTGTCCATTAAGAATGGGGAAGGTGAGACCCGGTGTATGCCGGAGACTAGGATCATCATATTGTCGTCCAGACATGACTTGTCTGAGAGATGCGGTTTCGGTGGATACCCTCCTCATCAGAGGGATTCCTTTTTAGAGGGGCATTGTTATCTTCATCGCCACCGCCATCGCATTGTATTGAGGAGGGTTACGTACTTTCGTCACGTATTGAGGTAAGGACATGAACTTGTTTAGCGCACCATTCAGACTGCAGCATGCCTGGGAATGCGGGTTCGGATAGTGGTCTGTTTTGCACTGACCGTTCATGAGAGGCGGTACTAAATGACTTGGCTTTTGATTCAGTTACGCCTCTCAAAGGATAAGGCATGTTGCTGGAGAGGGGAGGGGGGCGGTGTGACGCACATTCCTCGTTGCAAGTACCAGAACACTTAAAGTGATCCCTTACTTGAAAGGCATGTTGTTGAAGACAGCGATAATGTTGTGTATGTTAGGTGTAATTGGGCGCGTAACGTGGAAGAGTTTGATTTAAGAGGCCGACTGAGAATCTTCAATGTCTTAACTCCGGCATGGGTATTGTCGCTGTGATATTCCTTGATTACTATAGCTGTCAAGGATGGGGTAGATTAGAAAAGAATTCAATATGGATTTAAGTGTCATAGGATGGCTCATTATATCAAGAATAATAGATCTCAATGAGAGTCAGAAGATTGCTCTTGACGAAATGCCACACGGTGCAATTGTGTGTAAGCTTGGCAAAGTCTTACTTCAAATGGAACTCGTATCTACCGATCTGGTCGGGACTGGCATGTGTCGTTCTGTCTCAAAGCTTCTTCTGAAATTACGCGCAGACAGAGGGCGTAGCGATGAGCAAGTTCAAGTTTTATGTTTCTATCCATCATTACTTGAAATTTTGAAATAACAAGGAACCTTAGTCGACGTATGCGCGAGAAACGGCTTCCATTTGCATATTCCCCTGCCTTGTGTTCCTTTATTCACAATGCAGACGTTGCATATATTGCTGTGTTGCGTTTCGTCCACAACGGCAACTCGAATTGCCGTCGAGCCCGTGTATTGCAACGTGTTTTGCCACTGAACGGGGACACAGACACAAATCTCGTTGTGGTCAGCAAGCGCAGCTCTTGCAATTTCTAAGCTGACGATTGGCTTCTGTTGCCTGATTACTGCCGGACAGCATTTAAATGAGGAAAAACACCTTTCGGCCGCCGTATTATCGCAATTTACGGTGGACGGCTTAAAAAAACCATGTAAAAAGAGGAATGCAAAATTACATTTTTGCGAGAAGAGAAATGTTAAATCAATTTGGCATAACAAATGGAATGCATCCGGTCCCTGATGCATCCTACATTTCGGAGGTGTTTTATATTTTCGAATTAGAATTGCTGTCACCGAGAGTAAACATGCTCATTCACATGTACCGTGCATTATACGTTCTTGCTAAATCAGTTACTTCAGGATGTCGGTTTCCAAATGAAATTCTTTTCGGCCGTCTGAAAAAATTACACTGCGTAAAGTGACCACTTAGTTAGTGTACATTTTCCTCACTGATTTTTATTGTCTATGTAAATCCAAATATATTTCAAAGAACACTTGCATAAAAACATTCGTCCTTTTACATATATGTCGGAAAATTAAGCTTTATTTGGATTCTGTGCTTTAAGAGAGGATAAAATTCGGTGTAAAAAACTGCTCCAAGTATAAAATGAAGTTGAACCTGCCATTGAACTTGCACTCAGGGTCTACACAAGCACAAGCATACTGCTGACTGCATCCTCGCAGTCTGCGAATATTACGTGGTTGCTCGGCTTTAGCTGGTGGATTCCGGCCCAAATATCCATATCAACATGTGAACTTGACCCACAAAGCTTAATTCCTACCGATTAACTCCACGTTGGCTGTTAATTTCTGAGGAGGTTCAAAAACCGAAATTATTTTTGTTGCTGAGGTAGCTGTTGTTCGCAGCCCTCTAAGGAAAAATTCGCCATCGCGCTGAAGTCCCATCGCACCACCTCACTGCATTCAATTATCCAAAAATTACGACTTTATGAAAAGATTAAAGTGTTGGGTCAAGCACGTTAACAGCAGCCGTGCATGTAATGGGTCTTTTCGGACACGCCAATTTTATAAAAAACGCAGTAAACAGCGGACTGAACGAGGTACAAACAGTCTGTTCTGCGACAAAATCCCAGAGATGACACCAAGGACATCCACGCAGTCCCCATCCAAAAACAGGCCACCCTTTTCGAGCATTGTAATCCAATCTAGAAAGAGTCACGCCAAACACCGAGAGCATTTTTAAGACTAGTGGAAAAATACCATCTCCCTCAACTATCCTTGTCTCTGAGGCATTGCCTTGGCTACCGAGTGGTTTAACAGATCCTTGTTCCACCATTCTGCTCCAAGGGTACTCTTGGCTAGACCGAAATACAGGTACTCTCACACCTTAAATCATCTCCCCCCACAACAGCACTGTATTCCGTCAACGCAGGATCCAACAATATCATTCCAAGGCAATCGTTAAATGCTGTTACTTTTGGCTGCATAAAAGGTAATAGTACTTGGAAAAAACCAGTAGCGTCAATATATTTTCACGTCTTCGCTGCGAAAAAATACGCAACGTTTGAAATGTCCCAAAAAAATGATGTCTCATAAGTTAAATCGATCGGGGTACTTTAGGTTAGCCGTCCAATCTTGTAAAATGTAGATCGGTAACATCCTCTAAGTTCTTAATACAGTTAGGAGGACTTTTTCGAAACTCTGAAAGATGACATTTGATGGAGCGCATGTCTGTTGTCCAATTGCAAAAGGCTGGCGTTCAGCTTCAACCAAGACGAGAAATACGAAATTTACAAAATATACTGTCCTTGCTTGACAAGGAAAGAAGATGGAGGAGACACAAAAATGTCACCTTTCATGGACTAGGCAATCCGTGCGGAGAGAAGGATATACGCAAGTTGCATAGTTTAAAATCAATTGTCTTACAGACCACTAACCCTAACAACTAACACTAACCGCTTGACCTGACCCTAAGCCCTGGCCGCCAACACGACCTCCAACCCTAGCCCTAGCCCGTAAACGCATCTCTACATCTTAAACAAACAGTTCATCACGTGGGGCTCCCAGACCACATCTTACCCCTTGTCCTTCCGATCGCAGCCGACGGGAGAGTCAGTTCACTGTTCGTGGATTCAGCGCAGTACCTAGGCAGGAATTCCAGCTCACACCAGCGCATTTCGCCACTGTAAGTCAGACTTCCGCCAGGAATCGACGAGTTCACATGTTGCCCGCTGCATTAGACTGGTGGAGCATCCAGCTTTTCAAACGGCTTCGTCACTGTTCCGACTGTCTGATCCCAAGGTAAATGCACATCTTCATTGAATCTTTTTAAAATTCCCCATCATCATTTCAATGTCCACATTCGCCTGTCTGGTATAAATAACGACGTGCCCATGTGACCAGCTAAAACGGTTTTTATAACTGCATGTTATTATTCTGCCTGCATCCTCCTCATTAAACCCGCATCGTCGGCTTGAGCATACGGAAGCAACACATTCAGAGGCGGGACATGGATCAATAGGCATAACGGAATAGATGCCTCACAAATTTCTCAAAGATAAATGGAAACAGACATGGACGGTAGCCACATGCCGTGAATGCCTACTGGCACAAACTTTAATCAACCACAGAACAGCTTGTTAAGCACAGTTAACAGGTACCTGGAATGCGCACCCAACCACTTCCTTCAGCATTGGTCGATAGACCTTCAGCTGGTGTTAGGGTTTGTCACAGAGAAGTTAAGAATCAAAATGCATCAAAGAGTTTTGACATTAGGTCAGTAGGACTGTCAAGGACTGTCATTTGTGGATCATGCGACGCTGGTTAGAAACGATCGGAAATAACTGATTGTACGGTGGGATGGAGCGCTTTGCCAGACATGCGGACAGATGGTTTTCAAGAAGAATTCAATGCCAATGACCGCCCCTGGGTTGAACATTTTATTGGTTTCATAATCAATTTGGAGTTGAGAATAGAACTCGCACGGACGTCGTTCAAGCATATGGTATATGCATGTTCGACTCACAACATGAATTTTCGCAGTGAATTCTCTTCAGAAACTGCCGGAACCTGAAGGACGACTGTCTCCCTACAGTTGCCTTGGACATTTTCACTTTTCTGACTAACTGATCCCACGAAAATTGCAAATGTTTTTTGAATATTATTTTAAATTCAATATCATCGTAGACATCGATCTGCCTGCACCCTCCTCCTCAGTCGATAATTATAACGACAAATGCAGAGGACTAACCGAAGCGCAGAGTGTACTTCGAACAGGCGACTCCTTACTGCCAGTCTTAAGCTCCGGTCGACTTATTTGACAGACACCTATAGTGTTATACCAGTGCTCCTGGGATTGCAGCAGACATGTCTTGGCACAAAATGCATATTTATTGCTGAAATGGTAATTTAAACAAAAAGTAGTGATTGTCAGTCGGCTCAGCACGGAGAGTCTGTTACACTTGCTCCTCCAAATTTGTTCGTCGGATGCGTCCTGATTTGGAGGCAGATCTCTCCTTGGCCATGTACACTGCAAATGGAAAGAGAACATGTGCATGTAGTGGGTTTATTAAACACAAGCATATTCAACTGGGGAGCTAAATTACATTTAGTCGCCCCCCCCCCTCGCACTACTGCTTCTATCAAACCCATTATGTCAAAATCAGAGCAAAGTATGCACATTGAAGCGTAGAAACATAAACGTACTCTCATATTTTGTCGGAAGTCGTACGCAGCGGCTTCCATTGCAGACATATTTCTGCCCATTAAGAACGGGGAAGGTGAGACCCGCTGTCTGACGGAGACTAGGATCATCATATTGTCGTCTAGCCATGACTCGTCAGAGAGGTGTGGTTTCAGTGAATACTCGCCCCGTTAGAAGGACTCCAATTTATAAGGGGTTTGTCCTCGTTTGGCTTTCGATGCAGTCACATGTCTCATAGGCTGACGTATGTCAATAAATTGGGGAGGGGGGTGTGATGCAACTAACTCGTTGCAACTGCGAGAGCACTTAAACTGATCGCTTTTTTAGACGTCATATTGGTGAAGTCAGTGCTGATTTTGTAGTTGCAAGGTCTTATGAGGCGCGTAAAGTGGAAGAGTTTAATTTTAAAATCTAGCTGAGAGACTTCAATGTCACAAATCTGACAACTTCATGATGGATGTAGCTGTCAAAGACGAAGTAGATTAGAGAAGAATGGAATATAGATTTATGTGTTAGGGGATGGCTCATTATATCGAGAACAATAGATCGCATTGAGAGTCAGGATATCGGTCTTGACAAAGTGCCAGTCAGTGCAGATGTCTGTAATTTTGTCAAGACACGTATATGTCGCCTGTACCTGTTACTGCAGCTCTAGAAGGAATAACCATAATAACCACTACGACAAGAGAAGGGTTCAAAGCCTTCCGCCTTAGAAAAATGCTTTAAATTCATCGGAATCAGCACGTCTCCGTCCTCTTATAGTAATGCTGATCAGCAGCGAGCAAGCCAGTCTCATTCTTCCCAGGCGATTTAGAATAAAAGGTTCCAACGTAGGCGTTTTTTTCCAACCGGACCACCCGCCAGCGTAAAGACTGAAAAGTCTTCCACTAGTGCTGGGACTAAGAAAAAGGCTCAACGAAGGGGAAGACAATTTAGGTATATAAAACGACCAAGTAAAGCAACGCCCACCATTCTTCCTCTTGACGAGTTCGGTCCGAAGAACCGCGCAACCGACTGAATGTGCTAACTAAAATGTAAGCATATCTCCCTTCAGCTTAAAATTAAAATTCATGTAAAATAACGCGCAGAATTTGTTATCAAAGCTCGACGAGCTGAATATCCACCCCTGTGATCTATCCCCTGTCCTAATCGCTCTAATAAAAACCTGGTTAAATCAACACGTGGACGACCGTGAGTTAAGCATGCCTGACTACCAGCCGTTTAGACGGGACAGGCGTCAGGGAGGAGAAGTACTCACGCATGGGAAACATGGAGTAATGATATTGGACAAAACCGATACATTTTCGTGTACTTCCGAGGTCGTCCAATTGTCTATTAAAGTGCAGGGTTCACTGAGCCTCGATTTCCCGACAGCCAATCGGACGTCCAGACGGAACCACACTTCCGACGCTCGCCTGATGGAGGAGCTCGAAAAGTTGGCTACATGGCCGGGTATCTTGATCATGGATGACTTTAACGCGCCTCACATTGACCGGAACTCTGTCCGCACAAATAGCTCGAAGATAACTTTGATGGTCACCTTGTAAACCCGACGTTAAAATTACTTTACCCTCAACACGTCACGTTTCCAGCTAGAGTGCGCTAAGATTAACAGGCCAGCTGCCTTGATCATGTTCTTACAACATCCTAGGACAACAATGATGAAGTGGCATATCTACTCCCCTCCGCTCCCCCAAGGCAAAAGTGACAACGTCGTTCTACCATGGGAGTACTCGAAGTTGGCACTCAAACCACAGTCTCCCCAGTGAGCCGAAACATGGATCACAGAACAGCGGCCACCTACGGCGTCTTGATATAGAGAGAGCCACCTGTGGTTTTTAGACCTGAGGCAGGAGTATGGCCTTGGACATTTGTACTGGGCATCAGGGTTACCGTTGTTGGACGACGACATCTGTTACCCTCTAATATCGCAATGCCATTGGCCAGTCCAACGATGACATATCTGCCAGAGTGCTCTCAGTCCGCGCCAGAATAAAACATTTGTGTTTGCTCGGTAGTGGCAATTCGTTAGGCTCGGAAGTTTAGTTATTTCTTTATTGTTTGCATTCGCATGAGGATGGTCTCACAATCCGCTAACAAACAGGTCGCATCATTCCCGGGGTATTATAATCAGATTGGACTCACACGGGACGTGGCCTCTCTGACATACCCACCTAGTGGGATTCGAGTGGGGTGTGGCATCACGCGTAGGGGGCGAGGTCCGATCCCGCCAGCCACCTGCGTCCTCTGCCACCTCGGGTCTTCTGGACGCTGTATTTACACCGGGTCTAGGTGGTGGAGGAGGGAGTGCGATAGATATTCTGCAAGTCTACACGAATTTTAAACTTATTCTCACACAAGTCACCTTCCCTGCTCCCACACTGCTGTGCAGCACACGGCAGTCATCGGCGGGAACGATGGTCGAATTGCCACGCCGGAGGTGGTTATTGCCCAAGCCTGGTTCCACGTAGTCCTTTTCAGTCCAAAATTGGCTCCTTCAGTGTAATTAAGGCAGAATTTTGTCAGATGTGTTTGGTCCAGTAGTATTTAATGGCAAGGGAAAATAAGCATGAAATGGCGTAGGAAACTAAGCCCGTAATGGCCACTTAATACTTTCTTGCTTCTGTCAGTGTAGTTTTTCGATTACTACTGGCTCCTCCCTCTGTGTCTGTCTTGTATGCAGCGGAGGGTCAACCTGTCAACGAGAATTCAGCCACTCTACGACATGACTGGGATTAGCGTGTTTAATTTGCGATTAATATTTTTTTGCAGCGGATGCGGGAGAAGGGGAATTGGCAATGGCAGGTTGTGTAACTCCACCTCACACCCGGTAACCCCAGGCCCGTGTAATGCCGGAATGGTCGTAATAGGGGTTTTATGGGTAGAACATCACCGCGGAGTGGAACGAAATCAAAGTAGTAAATAACAAAAATGATGGATTTGTGGCAGTTCGCGTCTTTTTGCACTCCACCTTTGTCACGATGCCTTCCTGTACGCCTCACAGTCTTTGTCGTTACGCAGCTGGGACACGCGAGGCCTGCCAATAGCCTCGCGAGCGCTCCAGGCCAATCAACGCTGTCCCCCCTCTGGTTGGCTGGCGACGCGGAGACAACGGAGGGCGCACACACGCGCTGCGTCGCCGCACCTCGAAGGCGGACACAGACAACAAAACTTGGCTAGAGAGGGCGCTCGCGGCGATTGCCTACAGAGCCTTTGTGTACGCACTTACAAAACAGTAAGGGATGTCCAAATCAAATCGTCTTCCCTGACTTTTGATCGGCAATCCTTGTCTTGTCGACCATATCGCACTACCTTCGACAGATTTCCATTTAAATTCTTCTCCTTCACCTAGATATATCAACGGAATTGAGGGCGTCAATAGAAAAGTACGCAAAGTGGTATTTGGATGAACCGTCATTTGTAAAGTTGAAGCAGGCCAGGAATCAATAGAACGAACGACGAACATAAAGAACTTACATTATGTTCCTAATAGTGCAACCGTAAAAATTTACCGCGAGTTAGCCAGGTACGCACGCATGTTAAAGATGCTATGGATGAACAGACTAGTGAATATAAAAATGCAAATGACAAAGGTATGATCGCACGTTTGTATCTGAACGTTAAGGCAACTTAGCAATGTAGCATAAAATCTTAGGGGAAAATATACCTACATATCCAAAGGCTATGCACAAAAATAAAATGCATTAATGAACTGATTGAGTAATAATGCTTGTTTCTTCTCCTTCCAAAATACAGACCATCTTCTCCGGCTTGCAGAAAATCCAGGCAACCACAGCTTGATTTTTTGACGAAAGCAGAAGGAATAACCGAATCTATAAACTCGGGGTTGATAGAATACCGCCAAGCAAGGGACTCATATCCAGTTTGGCAAAATGCCAATGTGGACGACAAATGTGTCAGCATTGAACAGTCTACGGCCAGACATAGCAAGCCGTTTAAGCATCCGATCACAGTAGAACTCATCAATGGGATTAAGGCCTATTGGAACAGACTGAAACGAACGCTCCGAACGAAAGCTCCGAGAGGGAGAACCGATGTCGGGTCAGGCAATGTGGGTCCACGTAGACGAGGTTCAATATCGTGTGTGGTTTGGCCTAGACAGCACTGGCCAAAAGCAAAATTGGGAATTATACCTGGCGCATATTACGGAAGCATACTCGGTGCACCAGCTTCCCGAATAGGGAACCTGAAGGCATTCTTCCAGAAGACGATTTAAAGTCCAAATTTAAGTAAGCTTTAGCACGTAAACAGAACTTAATTTAGCTGTCTTATTAACGGTTATGCGAGGGACCACGCAAGGAAACCTACGCGGAAATTCTTTTACATTATGAGAACAATCACCCGACATCTCACAAACGGAGTGCCGTGGACAGCCTCCTTAACAGAAGAAGAACTCACAGCTCTGACAACGAAACATATCAAACCGCCCGGAATTACTTGCTTAAACAGTTTTCCCAGAATGGGTATCCTAGATATTTTGTACACCGATGCATGCGACGACAGGAGTTAAAAGAAAATGAAAGGAACTAGATTCTTCTGATCAGGCGCCCAAACCAAAAACTGGCAAACACATCCGTACATTAAGAATGTGTCCGAAATAGTTGGTAGGCACCTGAGGAAGCACCAAATACATGTGGCGCACAAGCAGACAACTACACTCTGTAACAAGCTTCTACACCCTTGGGATAGGGTCGACTATTCAGATAAGGGGGATATGGTCTATAAGATAACATGCAACACCTTTAATGCGGTTAACTGTGATCAAACTGGGAAATCGGCCTTAACACGAATACAGGCACATCAGTTGACCGTAAAAAGGCGAGACCACATGTCCTAGGTTGCCCTGCATACGTTGGAAACTGGACACAAATTCGTCTGGGACAGGACTCGCATTGTAGGTGTCTGCTCATCTAAGAAGTGCCCTGGATTTTTAGAGGTCATCCATTCTGAAAACGCATGCATCAACCAACACGTAGAATTGGATGCGGTGTACAACAGCCTTAAATATAAGTTGTAAAGACATTGGCCAATCAAAACATTACGCCAGCAGGAGTGACAGATCAAAGTACACTTTTAAGCATGTTTCAATGTTAAATGTTTTGTAAACT